ACCCCTGCCCACACAACATCCCCACCTCCCCCCTTCCCCTCGTACCCTTACTCATTCCCAAGTCCATCCTCCTTCCTGTGCCTTTCCCGTCAACCCCATTGAACTCCCTCCCTCCCTCCTTCCTCCGTGTGTCCCCACACCTACCTCCCCCTCACGCAACGCCCCCCCCCTTCTCACCAGGCGGCTTGCAGAACTGCGAGTCCTCCTGCACGCCCACCAGCACGGCACCGGCAGCGCACGTGCAGTTGTACGAGAAACCAGCTGGCGTGCACGACGTGGCGTTGGGGCCACAGGGGTGCGAATCACAGGGGTCTGGGTGGAGGCGACATGGGAGGGTGGGATGGGAGGGTGGGATAAATGAGGCACAGTGTTGCGTAGTGTGATCGGGCTGAGCACAGCAGTGCACGAACGACATAGCACGGGTGCACAATGCAAAGCGCACCAAGGATGCACGTCTGAGAGCCATTCTTGAAGGGACTGACGAGAATGGCCGTGGGATCACACGTGCAGTTGTACCCCGTGGCTGTCTCCGTGCACTCCCCCCACACGCCACAGGGGCCGTCCCGTGTGCCATCATCGCAGTTACCTGGGGGAAGTGGGGCGGGGCGAGAAGAGGAAGAGACAGAGGCATGAGGAGGGGAGGGGAGGGACGAGCCAGAGGGAGTAGAGAATGATCAGAACAGCACCGGCAGGCATGGTGAAACAGGGAGCATGGGATGCAGAGACTGAGGGTAGGGGCGAGTGACCACGATGGTACAGGATGCGGAGCTGGGAATGGTTGAGTTAGAAATGGGTGGGAAATAAAGAACAGTGGGGGATCCAGAGAAGAAGACATTGGAAGGAGAAAACGACAGAAAAGGGGAGACATTGGAGCATTGGAGTAAGGTGTGGGGTTGGGAGTGACTTTGAGAAGCTGGGGGAGGGTGTGACGAGATGGTGCAAGAGCAGAATCAAACCAGAATCGAATGGAGGAGAAATTGAGTTCATTTGTTACGAGACAGAATAATAGATCCGACTCAAAACTCCTGTAGAGAGGCCTTAAAACCCGAGGCCCGGATTGTCCAAAACTTGAGCAGTTGCGCAGGGGGGGAGGGGGGTGGAGGAAAAAAGTTGGATAGCGAACTCGGAAAAGGTTCACCAACCTCCGCGGCCCTAGTAAAAAGTTCGCTACACCACTTCAAGTGTTGAACAAAGCCCCCTTCTTGGGCAATCTGGACTGCCCCCCCTTCAGGTTTTAATCTGACAAGCTAAAAGAGCCTATTATGTGAGCTCTGTAGAACCCTACCATACCATGCGATGATTCTCACAATAAATAAAGCTCCACACACCCACGCCCACCTCCTCCTCCACAAACATCCCACCCCTCACGCCCCCATTCCCAAAACCACCCTCCTTCCTCCGTCCTTCTCTTCAACCCATTGTTGCCCATTTCCTTGTTTCCTCTCACTCACCGGGCGACATGCAGTACGGCTGCCCCTCCTGCGCGCCCACCAGCTCAGTGCCGGCAGCACACGTGCAGTTCCACGACGAGGCACCAAGGCCCGTGCATTCCGTGGCGTTGGGCCCACAGGGGTCCGAATCACAGGGGTCTGGGGTGTAGCGTGCGAGGGTGGAGGTGGCATGGGAGGGTGGGACAGTTGAGGCGTAGTATTGGAGTAGCGAGGTCGGGCGAGCCGGCGGCAAAGGCGGAGTGACACTCACTGGTACTAGTAGGCAGGCGAACAGCGGTGGTCACGCCTGCCACTGCCAGCACGACCAGCAACACGGCGAGAAGCGACAGGCGGGAATCGCAGAGCGGACGACGACGATGGCAATGCGACATCGCTGCTGCTGCTGCTGCTGCCATTTTCGCAAAGTGACCCCTCGGCGAAGGAGAATCCGATGTCGCACGCGGTGTCGCAAGGAGAATCCAATGTCGCACGCGGTGTCGCAAGGAGAATCCAATGTCGCACGCGGTGTCGCAAGGAGAATCCAATGTCGCACGCGGTGTCGCAAGGAGAATCCAATGTCGCACGCGGTGTCGCAAGGAGAATCCAATGTCGCACGCGGTGTCGCAATGAGAATCCAATGTTGCACGCGGTGTCGCACGAAGAATCCAATGTCGCACGCGGTGTCGCAAGGAGAATCCAATGTCGCACGCAGTGTCGCAAGGAGAATCCAACCCGTTGTTAGGATGCGCGAAGGGCCTCGGTTGATACAGATGACGCTCGCACGGGGATTGTGCTGCTCGCTGCTCCTCGGCGAGGCGAAGGGAGAATGAGATGTCGCGCGGAGAGATGCTCGGCACATCCACTTCGTTAAGCAAGTTGCTTGGGTTTGCGCCGAGGCTTTGACGATAGTATGGGCGAAGTGACTCCTATTACAAGACGCGACAGAGACTTCAAATGTGGTGCGCACGAGTAAGAACGACGACGAGCAGACGAGCAGGGAGACGGGGAAGGGGGCGCTAAGGCAGGAGCAAGAAAGCTGTATCTGGTGGTGATATCCGAACGAGCACTCGAAACACAGACACGAGATGGTTGACGAGAAGGCCTAAATCTCTTCTCACGGCTCCTGGTTCCATTTCCGCGACAGTGCGGCTGGCTTGGCGGCTGGTGAAGCCCGTCTCAGACGAAACGACGAAGTGCTTTCCATTGGCCTGGCGTGCGACGCGGGACCAAGAAAGACCGGAGCTGCTGATCCGCGCTGGTCGAATCCTATTACAGCGGGTATGCCATTAGGTCCACGACATTTTACTCCATGTAATACTCCAAGGTCCGAAATTCGATAAGATCGGCCAAGATGTACTCCGTCTGTACGGTATACATCTACTGTGGACTTCGCTAAAAAAGCGCAATAAAACATTGTGACCAATCACGACAGTCGCATAATGTCACCGACCATCGAGTCGCGCAACCCGAATTAGGTGCGATCCCAGCATGCGAATGTCGCCAACCAACCCGCGAGTGCGAGCTCGGAAATTTCTCGTGAACTGTGCTTGGAATTGCCCGGCCAATACGCGCTTCCCCGGCCAATACGCGCTTGCCAGGTTACCAGCGCGTATTGGCCGGGCAATTCCAAGCACAGTTCACGAGAAATTTCCGAGCTCGCACTCGCGGGTTGGTTGGCGACATTCGCATGCTGGGATCGCACCCAATTCGGGTGGCGCGACTCGATGGTCGGTGACATCATGCGACTGTCGTGATTGGTCACAATGTTTTATTGCGCTTTTTTAGCGAAGTCAACAGTAGATGTATACCGTACAGACGGAGTACATCGTGGCCGATCTTATCGAATTTCGGACCTTGGAGTATTACATGGAGTAAAATGTCGTGGACCTAATTGTCAGAAACTAGCTTAGCTAGGAAGCCATAGAATGGCACAAGGTTTAGCTAGGAGCTAGGAGGAGCCATGAGAATGGCGAGAGGTTTTAGGTGCTAGGAAAGTTGAGGAGAGGAAAAGATGTTGGATTAGAAGAGAGGGGAGTACAAGGAGGGGTTTGTACCCCCTACAGAAAGGTTCAGTAACAACCTACCAAGCCTATATAAATTATAACTTATATAATTTTAACACACCCCCTAGGCTTGGTAGTCACACACCCACACACACCCACACCCCCTAACCTAGCACCCCCATTCCAGCCACAGTGACAGCGACTCTAGGTCGGTCGACCCCACGGCGCGTGAGGCGGCGACGTCGACCGCAGGGGCTGCGGCGGCGACGGCGGCAGCGGCGGCAGTGTCGACAGCGGCGGCGGCGGCGGCGTGCGGCTGCGTGGCCCCGACGCAAGCGGCGACAGCGGCGGCGGCGGCGGCTTCGACAACAGCGGCAGCGGCGGCGGCACCCGCACCTCTCGGTGACGTGGCCTGGCCCCGCGACTGTGGGACGGCCGGCGGGAGTCAGCCGTCGTCTGCGGAATGGAAGAGGGCGCAGGGGAAGGAGGGGGGGTGGGGGGGGGGGGCGGCGCCACAGGCTGACATGCGGGCGGCCGGTCTAGCGGCGCCACAAGCGTCACGCGGCCGGCTGCAGCCCGACGACGCCGTCATGGAGCGGCGTCGATGCCGCAGCGGGGCGTCGACGCTGCGACGGCAGCACGACGTCGCTGGTACGCCGACTGCGCGCTGTCGCGTAGACGCCGCGGCAGCGTGACGGCGCCGTCACGTCGCGACAGCAACTTGACGCGACGGCGGAGCTGCGGCACGACGGCGCGGCCACAGCAGCTGGACGCGGGCGCCATGGACGTCGACAGCGGCGCCGCGGCACGACGACGCGGCCACAGCAGCTTGACGCGGCCGCCATGGCAGCGCGAGATAGAGAGAGAAACGAGCACGCAGCGGAAACGCGAGGAGCAGGCCCACACGGAACGAACTGCTCTAATACCATGTCAGAAACTAGCTTAGCTAGGAAGCCATAGAATGGCACAAGGTTTAGCTAGGAGCTAGGAGGAGCCATGAGAATGGCGAGAGGTTTTAGGTGCTAGGAAAGTTGAGGAGAGGAAAAGATGTTGGATTAGAAGAGAGGGGAGTACAAGGAGGGGTTTGTACCCCCTACAGAAAGGTTCAGTAACAACCTACCAAGCCTATATAAATTATAACTTATATAATTTTAACACTAATGGCATACCCGCTGTAGTGCTCCTTGCTATCCACACGCTCATACAGTCTGTTACAGTCTGCTCACAGGCAGTACACTTGTTTTCCTATTTAGTTCCACGTTTTTTGCACGCGGCTTGAGCCTGTAAGCAGGTAATTGTAAAACACGGGCAAACGGGAGCTTGAAGGGGAAATCCCACAGTACGCTATGACACTTGGTTACAAAATCTCGTTCATGCACTAGATTGGTTGCCTGCGCGACGTTCCAGCCTTGAATCTTGCAATAGTTGAAATACAATTTAGTAGTTCGTTATCGTTCAGACTGCAGCCAATCAGGTTCAGTTTCAACGCGAGTCATGCTGAGAACCTGGTAGGTGAGATTGCAATTTGGACTGTTCGAGGTGAGACCATAGAGGCGAAAAGTGTCAACTTATACATATTATCTATGTAGAAGTTATAGGCTAGACTGAGGTATGCTTCTAGTGAGTACAACCAACTAGTATTTGTTCTAGGTTTCCACCTCTAGTAATCATTCGTTTCTACGTTAACATGGTATCACGCTTAGGTTAGGATCCCCCCGCCTACCGCTTCCGCCCGTCGCGCCTCCTAGGCCCCGTCGCGCCCCCTAGGCCCCGTCGCGCCCCCCCTGGGCCCCGTCGCGCTCGTTAGGCCCCGTCGCGCCCCCCCTGGGCCCCGTCGTGCCCACTGGGTCCCGTCGCGACCCCTAGGCCCTAACGCGCCCCCGCTGGGCCCCGTTGCGCCTCCTAGGCCCCGTCGCGCCCCCCATGGGCCCCGTCGAGCCCGCTGAGCCCCGTCGTGCCTCCTAGGCATCGTCGCGCCTCCTAAGCCCCGTCGCGTCCCCCCCCTCTGGGCCCCGTCGCGCCCGTTCGGCCCCGTCGCGCCCCTCCTAGGCCCCGTCGCGCCCGCTGGGCCCCTTCGCGCTTCCTAGGCCCCGTCGCGCCTGCTAGGCCCCGTCGCGCCCCCCTGGGCCCCGTCGCGCCCGTTAGGCCCCGTCGCGGCCCCCTGGGCCCCGTCGTGCCCGCTGGTCCCCGTCGCGACTCCTCGGCCCCGTCGCGCCCCCCCTGGGCCCCGTCGTGCCCGCTGGGCCCCGTCGCGCCCCTTAGGCCCCGTCGCGCCCGCTGGCCCCTGTCGCGCCTGCTGTTAGCGCTCGCCCGCCTGGCCTCCTCCTAGTGCCGCTCGGCCTCCTCCTAGTGCCGCCCGGCCTCCTCCTAGTGCCGCCCGGCCCCTTCCTAGCGCCGCCCGGCCTCTCCTCAGCGCTGCCCGGCCCCTCCTCGTGCCCGACCGGCCCCAGCAGCACCAGCCTGGCCCTTCCCAGCACCAGCCCGGCCCTAGAGCACCTGCCCGCCTCCCCTGCTCGGCCTGCCGTGTCCTCTCGGGCCCTGTGTCTTCTGCTTGCCTGCGCTGGGACGCCTAGCTGCTGCCCTACTGGAGAGTGCTGCCGCCGTGTCCCCGCGCCGCTGTGCTCCTGTGCCGCTGAGGAGCTGTGCTGCTGTGCCGCTTTGTCGCTGAGGAGCTGTGCCGCTGACCCTGCACGATGGCTGACTTTGTGCTCCGCCTGGACGCTGAGGGCCACGCGGTTGACTTCGCCGCCTGGCTCTCCGATCTTCGCCGCCAGCTTACAGGTCAGCGCCAGGATGGCCACTCTCTGGTTGTCCATGCTGATGGCTTGCTCCCCCGTCCCCCTGCACCTACTCCCCTCCCTGCTGACCCCTCCTCTGATGACCGTGAGGCTTTCTCTACTACTGCGCTAGCCTGTGCGGTCTGGGACTCACGCGATGCAGTAGCTCAGGTTGCTATTAGTCACGCCCTCCCTGTGTCTGAGCGCTCGCGTTTTGCTACTGTTGAAACGGCCAAAACTTATTTAGACGCCGTTATTGCTCGCTATTCCACCCCTGCCTCCGCTTCTGCTGGCCGCTTGCTCTTTCCGATGCTGTTCCCAGACCTGGCTGCCTTCCCTACTGTCGCAGATTTTGCCACTCATTTGCGTGCCCTAGAGACTCGCTATCGCACTGCCAGCACTGCTGCCCAGCTCACTGCGCTCCCCCCTCCTTTCTGCATGACGCTCTATTTTATCGCTATGCGCCTGCCAGACCGCCTCGCTAGTGCTCGCGACCACTTTCTTAGCCAGCACCCGGGTGACCTCACCCTGACCGCCTTTGTCGACACCCTCACTGAGATCGAGACTCGCCAGCGCACTATCGCTCAGTCGAGCGGTGCGCCGGCAGTCTCTATCTTTCACGGTTGTGCCCCATCCCCGTGCACGTTCACTGACGTTTCGGCTGCGGTCGCCACGGCGACCCCTCTTACCGAGACGGCTGCTGCTGTCCACCCGCAGCAGCGCTCGCGTCGCGGTGGCCGTGGCCGCCAGGGAGGTAGGGGTGGTGACGCAGGTGGTAGTGGTCGTGGTGGTGGTGACGGTAGTCCGCCTGAGGGGACTACCACCGGTGGGCAGGAGCAGCAGTCCCAGCAGCAGCAGGACCAGCCCCAGCCGCAGCCGCCGTCCCAGCAGCACCCGCCGCAGCCGTGGGCTCGTCTCCCGCCTGGTTGGCCCGGCACCTCCGGAGGCGGTGGCCGTGGTGGCGGCCCGCGCAGCTTGGCGTCTACCAGCGGCTCCAGTGCTGTGACCTGCCAGTACCAGCTTCAGACCGGGCCTCTCCGCGGCACTCTGTGCCGCCGCCCGCACCCGACCGCCCACTGTTTCCGCCGCCTCGACGATCTTTTTCGTCGTCGCTTTGGCCCGGCCCCGGACCTCCCTGACTGGCACAGCCTGCTCCGCCAGGGCGTGCCGATCTTTGAGTTAGACATGGATCAGATAGGTGCTGCTTTGCATGCTTTGTATGCTGACGCTTCTAGTGTTGATGGATCTTACTACCATGTGTACTCTAGTTTAGGT